AGAGGCCAGGCTCAGAGATCCCGTCATCGTACCATGAAACAGACAATGGGACAACGGGTGAATAGCAATGAACAAACTACAGTCAGAATCCTAAAAATGCTAAACAGATAAAGTAGGAAGGAGGAGAGGATAGTGCTCAAGTTACCATACTTCTCCCAGCAAACTGACTCCCTATGCAGCTTGACTAACACTCTGAGGAGTTTAACCTTCTCCGAGTCTTACCTTCCTAGCCATATGCTAAACTAAAGAGGACTGTTTTAAACCTAGCCTTGAATAAAGAATAACATACAGCATAATATATAACATAATATACAACATAACACAATACATTATTGAATAATATATAACATAATATATAACATAATACAGCATATATATATAATATATACACTACATATTATATATTACCTAATTATATGCTAAATTAAAGTAAAGTGCTTTAAGCCTGGCCTTGAATGTGGAGACCGTATCTGCTTCCTTAACATAAATGGGAAGCTGATTCCACAGTAAAGGAGCTTGGTAGCTAAATGCTCTGCCACCAACAGTGACCTTTGAGACCTTAGGGACCACCAGACGTCTGGCGTTTTGTGAGCGCAACGCTCGACCTGGTTGATACGACACTAACGTGTCTTGGAGATAAGAAGGAGCCAAGCCATTTATGGCTTTATATGTTAAGAGTAGGATTTTAAACTTTATTCTGTACTCCACAGGGAGCCAGTGGAGTGATTTTAACACCGGAGTTATGTGCTCCCTCCTTTTGGTACCTGTTAAGATCCTAGCTGCTGTATTCTGAACGAGCTGGAAGCTCTTCAAAGAGGCTTTAGGGCACGCTGCCAGTAAAGCGTTACAGTAGTCGAGCCTTGAGGTGACAAACGCGTGAATGAGTTTTTCCGCGTCACTTTTAGGAAGGAAATTCCTAATTTTAGCGATGTTCCGTAAGTGGAAGTACGCCGTTTTAGTTGCTTGGCTTATATAAGCCTTGAAGGAGAGTTCTTGGTCAAAAATGACTCCAAGATTCCTCACAGTGTTACTGGGTATTATACTGACATTATCGAGAGTAACCATCTGGTTAGTGAGGGAGTCACGCAGGCGCTTCGGACCGAGTAGGATCACTTCTGTCTTCTCCGGGTTGAGAAGTAGGAAGTTAAGAGTCATCCACATTTTAAGGTCCTTTATGCAGGCACTGAGCTTTTCTAGCTGATCTGTCTGATTAGGCTTCATCGACAGATAAAGCTGTGTGTCATCTGCATAGCAGTGGAAATTAATTCCATGCTTTTTAATAATGTTTCCTAGTGGCAGCATGTAGAGAGTAAAAAGAATCGGTCCGAGTACCGAACCCTGCGGCACACCGAATTCCACTCCAGAATAAGGCGACGAGTCCTGATTCACATTGACGAAGTGATATCGATCTGATAAATAGGATTTAAACCAGCCAAGGGCTGTTCCTCTAAGACCTATATCACATTCTAGCCTCTGCAGTAGAATGCTGTGGTCTATTGTGTCAAATGCAGCACTAAGGTCCAGTAGGACCAGCACTGACACTTGTCCATTATCGGCAGCTAGTAGTAAGTCATTTGTGACTTTGACTAGTGCCGTTTCAGTCTATGATGAGCTCTGAATCCCGATTGAAAGACTTCAAACATATCATTTTCCTGCAGGTGGCAGCGAAGCTGCTCAGCTATAAGTTTTTCCAGGATTTTAGATATAAAAGTGAGGTTTGAGATCGGTCTGTAGTTTGTAAGTATTTCTGGGTCCAGGTTTGTTTTCTTCAGAAGGGGTTTGATTACCGCGGTTTTAAAAGCTTGTGGGACATAGCCACATTGTATGGATGCGTTTATTATATTTACGATAGGCTCAATTATCAAAGGAAGTATGTCTTTGAAGAGCCATGTCGGGACTACGTCTAACATGCAAGTTGAGGCTTTTGAGGATGTGACCACAGAGATCACCTCTGCTTGGCTCACAGCCATGAATTTATTAAGGCACACTGAAGAGTCTAAGTGGGAAGTCACGTATGTCGCTTCAACCTGTCCACCACTAACAGCAGGAGCAACCTCCTCCAGTTTGTCACGGATGGATGTAATTTTATTATTAAAGAAGTGGAGAAAGTCGACACTGCTCAGTGAGCTTGGAATTTTAGGCTCGATTGCGCTATGGCAGTTTGTGAGTTTAGCGACGGTACCAAACAAAAATCTACTGTTGTTTTTATTCGCTTCTATTAAAGTTGAATAGTATTGAGTTCGAGCCCCGCGAAGGGCCTTCTTGTAGTTTCGGAGACCTGCTTTCCACTCCCTGTGGACAGGCTCCGAGTGGGAGTGGCGATATAGCCTCTCCAATTTTCTGACGTCCTGTTTTAAAGTGTGGAGTTGAACACTGTACCAGGGCGACGATGATCTAATCCTAATGGTTTTCTGTTTTAAAGGAGCTGCTGCATTTAATGCAGATTTTAAAGACTCCATAGTGTTGCCCACCGTTTGGTCAATGACTGAGGGACTGCAGCTGCTGTGAACAGGTTCACCTGCAGCAGTATTCAACATAGGCTGTATTAGTTCTTTGAACCTTGTGATAGATTTATCATTTAAGGTTCTTTTCATTATGGTTTTATCTTGCGGGACAGGAAAGTCCCTCCAAAGCGAGATCAAACGTGATCAAGAAATGGTCAGACAGCAACGAGCTTTGACGCTGGATGTCAACATTGGAGACATCACAGCCGTAGGTCAGGACAAGGTCCAAGGTGTGGTTATGAATGTGAGTAGGTTCCTCGACATTCTGAGTAAAACCAACACCATCTAGTACGGCGCTGAAAGCTTTGTTTAAGCTGTCAGTGCTGTCGTCCACATGTATATTGAAGTCTCCAGCTATAACTATGTTTTCCCATTCCAAAACTAGGTTTGAAATGAAGTCAGAGAATTCTGTTAGGAACTCGCTGTAAGGACCAGGAGGTCGGTATAAAACTATAAATAGTACTGCTTTTTGTTTTCTCCACCCAGGACAGGTGATTGAAAGTGTTAAGTTTTCAAACGAGTGAAAAGCGTTGTTGGTTTTGGGACTAAGAACCAAGTTGGTGTGTGATATAATCGCAACACCACCGCCGCGACCTGTAGCTCTGGCTTTCTGGTAGTTAACATGCGTCGGAGGAGTGCACTCATTCAATCTAACGTAGTCGTCCTGTTGGAGCCAAGTCTCCGAGAGCGCAAACAGATCCAAGCCCTTGTCTATAATAAGTTCGTTTATGAGAAGCGATTTAGACGAGATTGATCTGACGTTCATTAAACCACATTTAACAACCCTACCGCTAGAACTATTTCTGTCTGTCTGAACTTTTATTAAGTTACTGTGTCTGACACCTAGGTCAGATTTCCTCGCATATAGTGCTTTAGACTTCAAGCGGGGAACACACACAGTTTCAATCTGACTAGGTTCTGAGGCTAGTAACTGAGCACACACAGGCACACACACACATGCACACACTGTTTCAATCTGACTAGCTTCTGAGGCTAGTAACTGAACAGATGGGGCCTCAGAGGTTGTGGCAGAGAGCAGCTCTGCACCGGGCCTCAGTTCTGGCATCGTCGATTTGAGCCGAGCAGAACAGTTTAGAGCCAGGGCCAAATTCTTAGCCAAAAGGGATGTACCCGCCAACGTTGGTTGGATATCATCCGAGGATGAGACCGGGCTTTCCCCAAAAGGCACTCCAATTGTCAACATGAACAACACCACTTTCGAGGGCACCAGCCAGACAGCCAGCGGTTGAAAAGCCGAGTTTGTCTGCTGCCTGAATGACTTCTGCACTGCTAGTGCTAGGTAGGGGCCCAGAGCAAGATGACAGTGTCGGCCATTGTGCTAGCCAGCTTGCACACGCGGGCGACTTGCAGCTTCAACACCTCGGACTGTTTCCGCCGAACGTCATTACCACCCGCGTGAATAACAATTCGACGGAAACGCTGCTTGTGGGTCATCATGAGCCTCAGATTCCCCTTCAATATCACCAAGCCTGGCCCCAGGGAAGCAACCGAACAGTGGCTCCTGGGATTCTTAACACCTCTAACAATAGAGGAGCCCAATTACCAGCGCATCAGCGACTCCATCGGCTCTCTCAGCAGCTCTCTCAGCGGCTTCTCTCAGTGGGGCCTTCTTCCCCGCCCGGCCGCGCGGGGGCGCAGCCGGACAGAGCGTCCCAGCGATTGTAAATGCTAACAGGAGGAGGCCCAATGGGGAATACCAAACAACACGTCGCCCTCTCCGAACAGTCACAAAGCCATCACTATCCTGGTCTTGTCCCAGCTGCGGAGGACGGGCTGGGAGGCTAGGCTCGCTAGTTCTCCTCTGCCTTTCCCTAGAAGCTGCGCTCGCTGTCCCTGAGGATACGGCCTGGCTGTAGCTAATGCTAGCGCTAGCTCGAGACTCCAGTGCTCGGAGACGCAGCTCTAACTCACTGACCCTGGATTCCAGAGCTACGACTACACTACACTTCACACATCTATCACTACCCTCAGGGAAGGATCCAGGGTTTAGACTCGCCATATGGCAACTCGAGCAGTAAAGGATTGAGGGAGAGACAGCAGCCGCCATAGTAGCGAGTTAGCGGCTAGGCTAGGCTAAGCTAGTACGGATCCGGGCCCGCACAACAGACTCCGAGACCAGACAAACAACCGCTACCTAAACCTCAGCTGCAGTACAGCTGACTCGGAGTGCTTACACAGTTAGCTTGGTGTACAATACGTGGATTTGTAATGTGTTTGTTAGTGCAAACAGAGAGCAGAGTGATAGCAGTCAAGAAACACGCTCACCGGATACAGGAAGTCACCAGAATCTCCAATCTCCAATCTACATGTTATACACATGTACACGTTGGTTTGAGATTACCTTGGGCATTTACAGTAAAAATGTAACAGTTTTTCCCCCTGTTGCCTCTATTAAAACAACTGTATACCACACAAAAATTACTGCATTGGATCTACAAAAGTCAGTGAAGTGAAGACTGCGGACACGCCGGACAGTCAGCAATGTCTGCGGCTGCAGATGCAACCCCCCCCCCCCCCCCCCCCCCCCCCCCCCCCCCCCCCCCCCCCCCCCCCCCCCCCCCCCCCCCCCCCCCCCCCACCCCCCCCCCCCCCCCCCCCCCCCCCCCCCCCCCCCCCCCCCCCCCCCCCCCCCCCCCCCCCCCCCCCCCCCCCCCCCCCCCCCCCCCCCCCCCCCCCCCCCCCCCCCCCCCCCCCCCCCCCCCCCAGGATAACGCATTTCTTTTGTTCCTTATTAGGCATATTCCTAAAGATCAACACCCGTTAGAGAAATACATTTTAGCAAAATAGAGACTCCATAAGCTCTTCACTTGATATGAGAGTTGCCACAACTGTACACGCCACTGAAAAAGAGCATTTTGACTTGAACCAGTGAATTCAGGGGAGATTTACTTCCTGTCCCTCGGAGGACGTCAGCTGCAACCCAGCTATAGTAAATGCACGCTCATTCGGATTCAGGTTACCTTGGTCAGAATATAACTTTCTACTCCATCCATCCATCCATTTTTTTCTGCTTTATTTGTTGCTTGTCCAGAGTTTCCCGATCTCTGCACTTGTGACTTATCTTTCTTTGCTTTGGGCATTGTCCATCTGTCTTATTGCGTTTTGATGATTTGACCAAATTATATAACCCAAAATACTTATCTATATATATATATATATACATATATTCTGGTCGTCAACTATGCAGTGCACTTAATAACCATTAAAGGTGTCACTTGTGTTATTGCATATTACCATTTTTCATTTAAATTTCAGAGCCCACAAATAAGCAACTCAGCCAACCAATAACGCTCCTTACTCAAGCATGACCACCATCCGACACGTTAGTCTCTGTTACACACTATGTGCATACCAAACATGTGGGTAAACAACTAGGGCCCATGCAGCTTTGGAACAGCATTTTGAGTCTTGATTTATACTTGAGGAAAGTTTGGAACATTTTGATAAAAACGGGGTTGGAAGAAATTCTGTTGAATTTTTGACCATATGGGTTGAAAATTATATGACCTGAAGAAAATATTTTTTTGTCAAAGTGGATAAAATGCAATCAGTAAAAGTAGAAAATACTTTTATTTTGTCCTGCATTTGACCCATTTGAGACTTAAGGCAAACTGTCAGGAGTAGTGCATTTGGGGTCCCATCTCCTGTGATGGTAGTTTTAGTAAAGGCTACTGGGACTTGACCTATTGGAAACTAGAGCACTGGCAGAACATGCAAAACAACAAATACACCTTTTTTTTGCCACATTTAGTATTTGCAACTGCAATTGGAGTATATTTGCAGCAAATTGTTTCTCAGGGCGACAGTAGCTCAGTTGTTAGAGCATTGGCCTTTGGGCCTGAAGGTCGTGGGTTCAAACACACCACAAGACCTACTCCAACTGCTCCCACTAATGTCGGCTTGTGTCCTTGAGCGAGACACTTAACCCCACATTGCCAGAAGCTCCCTTGGAAACACCAAGGCTGTGGCACCACTGATGTAGCAGCCATCTTCCTGTGGACTCACCAACTGCAGAGGATCAGCGAGGGCCTGGTGCTATGAGCATTGGGTGGCAGCTCTCATTGCCACCTCCCCGACCCAGAAATGGACTAATAAAGGGGCAGAAAATGAATGAATGAATGTTTCTCACATGAGAAAGTGCTGTGTAAGAGCAACATTGATATTATTTTCTTTGGCAGTATCTGGATCCAGGCCGATCAGTCTTCCACAACTGCCCAGTCCCCTTGTGAACTCAGCCCAGACTGAACCATCTACCCACAGGTTGGTGAACAAACGTCCATTCACACTGAGCCCTCAGTCGGGCTCCATGGCAGGGCCCCGCTGCATTGTATTTAGTTGAATAAAAAGGCAAGGCAAGTGTATTTGTATAGCACAGTTCATACACCAGGGAATTCAGAGTGATTAACAAAACAAGATTAGGCATATTAAAGTCATCACAGTACATTAAAAAATATCTGTTTTGAGGTGATGTGAAGGAGTGAGTCCACTGGGCAAGTTCTCCTGCATTTAGTGAGACATAAATCGAATGTCATCTGCCTCTTTGTGATAGGACACGTTCAGGGCCTTATGATCTAAAGCCTAGCGTACATCGACAGAGAAACTGGAGACAACTAGTTGCAAGCAGTGTTGCCAACTCCTCAGTAAGGAAAGTAGCTATTGGCTGTCCCAAAAGTCGCTAGAAGTCGCTAAATGACGTCATCGCCTAATTTGCATAATTGGCAATTTGCAAATAACTGTAACGGACGCTGTAGGAGAGAGGAATAACGTCGTGGGAGAGACAAAAGTGAGTTAAAAACACCCTAAATATGTTTAGAACTACAAATGTACAAAAATAATTTCAACATTAACAAAATTTAATGATTTTAATGCTTTGTCTAGATCTGTCGCTAGTCGCTTTTTTGAAAAAAAGTCGCGATAGGGTCTGAAAAGTCGCTAAATCTAGCGACAAAGTCGCTAAGTTGGCAACACTGGTTGCAAGGCGGTTTTTGGCAACTGAGAGGAGATGATGGAGATGATCAGTTGCCGAAATCGGTTGATGTGCGCGCTCTTACAACTGGAGATGAACAGTCGGTCTCCAGTTTCAGTCAGTTGCCCGTGTTCTACTTTTCGGCAACTAGTTGTCCTCAGTTTCAGAGATATGACCCTATGTGCGCGCTCCATGCGCCGCTCTGACAACGTGTGTGTATTGCGTGTATTGCGAGCCCGCAAAAGTCTATGTCAGAAAACCCACTGTAGTTGACGGCCAGTTGCTGTCTATGTACGCGCTGTTATTCCCGAGACTGGTCTGCTACTGGGAGTTGCCCGTTTTCGTCAGATTGTCGATGTGTGCGGGGCAGCAACTCATATGCGACGGATATAATCAGTTGCCAGTCCGATGTACGCTAGGCTTTCGAAGTATAAAGTACTTCTGTCTTCTAGATAAGACTTACACCTACTCAAGGTGATGCCGGCAAATCCAACCAAGTCCTCGAGTCTCTGTAGGACAATTTCATGATCAACAGTGTCAAACATCATCTACAGCTCTTATGTTAGTTAAGAAACATAGCTACTACTTATTTGTATATAGTGTATATATTGTGTGTGCTCTTACTACTGTCCTATATGTGCGATGCAACATCGAAATTTCCCCACTGTGGGACGAATAAAGGAATTCTTATCTTATCTTATCTTAAAAGCAATCAAACAGGATCAAAATTAAGAGGTAAGAGACTGGTGGCTGGGCCTTTTCTCACAGGGCTCGGTCGAGCTCAGCCCGAATGGATGACTTGGGCTAGCCCTCCGCAAAGGAATCCATGAGGGGCCGATGCAGCAAGGACTGGGCGGTAGTCGAAATCAGAGACCTCAATGATCCAGTCTGCGCACACAGCATCTGGTTGGGACATGGAACGCCACCTCACTGGGGGGGAAGGAGCCTAAGCTTGTGGGGGAGGCCGAGAGATACTGACTAGAGGTACAGTGCCTTGCAAAAGAATTTCAACATTTCGCCACATTTCAGGCTTCAAACATAAAGATATAAAAATTAAATTTTTGGTCAAGAATCAACAAGTGGGACACAATCGTGAAGTGGAACAACATTTATTGGATAATTTAAACTTTTTTAACAAATAAAAAACTGAAAAGTGGGGCGTGCAATATTATTCGGCCCTCTTGAGCTAATACTTTGTAGCGCCACCTTTTGCTGCAATTACAGCTGCAAGTCGCTTGGGGTATGTCTCTATCAGTTTTGCAGACTCCAACAGGTTTTCTTCCAGAATGGTCCTGTATTTGGCTCCATCCATCTTCCCATCAATTTTAGCCATCTTCCCTGTCCCTACTGAAGAAAAGCAGGCCCAAACCATGATGCTGCCACCACCATGTTTGACAGTGGGGATGGTGTGTTCAGGGTGATGAGCTGTGTTGCTTTTATGCATTGTGGCCAAAAAGTTCGATTTTGGTTTCATCTGACCAGAGCACCTTCTTCCACATGTTTGGTGTGTCTCCCAGGTGGCTTGTGGCAAACTTTAAACGAGACTTTTTATGGATATTTGAGATATTTGAGAAATGGCTTTCTTCTTCTTCTTTCTTCTTCCCCGTAAAAGGGGAAAGCGAGGAGGCCTGCTCGTGCGTCTTAGGAGGAGAGGAGCGCGCACGGCTCTCCCCGGCATTTTTCTCTCCAACGTACGCTCACTGGGCAATAAGATGGACGAACTCAGCCTGCTCATGAGAAGAAACAAGGACTTCGCCACATCCTGTGTCCTCTGCTTCACTGAGACCTGGCTAAATGAGCGGATCCCGGACTGCGCTCTGGAGCTGCAGGGCTTTGGGCTGTTTCGCGCGGATCGCCATTGTGCGCTCTCAGGGAAGAGCAGAGGCGGAGGGCTCTGTTTCTACGTCAATACAAACTGGTGTAACGATGTGACAGTGATCTCCAAGCACTGCTCTCCTGCTCTGGAATATCTTTTCATTCATTGTAAACCATATTACTCCCCGCGGGAAATTGTTTCATTCATTCTTGCCTCTGTTTACATACCGCCATGCGCGGACGCGCGCGAGGCTCAGCGCGCACTCGCAGAGCAAGTACTGTGTATGGAACGCTTATACCCGGACTCTCTGATTATTATCCTGGGGGATTTTAATAAGGGAAACTTGAGCCAGGAATTACCCAAATACAGACAGTTTATCAAATGCCCGACCAGAGAGGAGAACACTCTGGATCACTGTTAGGCCTGTTTCACACCGCACACGAATTCGTGAACGAATTCGTCTTCGAAACCCGCTCGCGTGCATTCGCAAGCTGCGCTTCAAGTCGCGTCCTGTTGTGCAAATGAGAAAGCTCTTCTGTGTACAGACCGGCGCTGAGGCGGCGCGCAGGGAATCGGCGCGCGCCGCTGCGGCCTCCGCTCCTGAAACCAAAAATGGAACTCGAGCGCATTTTTTCCGCGTGTAGGCTGCGCAGCGAGTGTGGTCTGATGAAGCTGTGGAAGAGCTGCGCGCATGCATGGAATCTACAGACTGGGACCTTTTCAGAGCTGCCACAGACAGCTTGGATGAATATACGGACACTGTGACGTCATACATCCACTTCTGTGAGGATAGCATCATTCCAACAAGGACCAGGGTCATCTATAACAACGACAAACCCTGGTTCACTGCTAAACTCCGGCAGCTCAGGAAAGCAAAGGAGTCTGCTTTCAGGGAGGGGGACCGCAGCGGCTACAAAGCAGCTAAATATCAGTTCAGGAAAGAACTGAAAGCAGCCA